GAAATAACACGCATAAGAAAAAATACGAGACTACATTAACTACTCGCCCCGTAAATACACACAAAACTACAGCAATTCATGCAGATACATTTAATTAACGGTTGAGCTTATCAAGCAAGCGGACAGACATGAAATCCTTAACAAAATAATGCATCAAAAAGTGTATAAATAAGTATATAGTGAAGCCAAACATACAATTTAAGAGATCATAAACTGATAATAATACCCAAACGTAGCCACACGTCAAGGTAAGCGCCAAAGAAGACACGCGTGCGCACTCAAACGGTGCGATCTTCCATGCTGCTACCGACTTTGCCTTGCTCCATATACCGGTACAACGTGTAAGAATCAGCACCGCGCAGCACCGACCGTGTGCCGTCATTTTGCTCCTTTGTTTCGTTACTGAGATCCCCTAAATGCCTGCAGTTAAGCAGACTTTACGGCACTGTTTCAAGATCCTTATCTACCCACGTAGGTAAGCATTGCCGTCCTTTTTTCGGCATGCGTGGCTTCTTTTAATGAAATGAAAATGATCATCATTTAAACTTTTTATAAATTTAAATAAATTTCATTGTTAATCCCTACCAAAAAAATATATTACCTTCCATTAAATGGGTATAGTGTATAGGGGGAGATATAATTTAAGTGAAACACAAATATTTTTTATTCAACACATTCGTTAATCGCTTGACGTAATTTGATCTTTGATTATGAATTTTAACATATGAATAGTAAGGATAGGCGTATATATAGTGAAAGGATATGTTTTATAAGGATACGTCATTAATGGACTGCTCATTTGTGCCTCTGCTTCTCTTTCTCTTACTTTCGCCGTCACTTTATATAGCAGTTAAGTGACCTTTCATTTAATATAATATGCATATAAATAGGTCAGTGCGTATACTCATGTATGTCAGTGTTTTTTATTAAGGGTCGAAGAATTATAAGGGTATATTCAAGTTTGATGTTTTTTTATTTGATTATTTTTTAAATAAGGGAATTTTTATATTATTAACATATTGCAATGTTATTTTGTGTTTATTTATTTAATGAATAAAATTTCGATCAGATGTTAATTTTTTTCTTCAAGGTAATTTAATAGCCCAAGTAAATTTTTTTTTATATAAAAATGAAATTGTTTCTGAATATATGTCCATTATTATATAATATTTTTTTTAATTTATCCTGTATTGCAATTAAATATCAATAAATACTTTAATAAAAAAAAATTCAAACCATGATGTATTATTGTCATTTATATTTAAAAAATTTAATTTTTACTGTTTGTTTTGACGAAACAAACTAAATTTTTGAATAAACTATTGGTTTTAATATATTGGTTTTTACCGAACAGTAGTAAAATTGCAACAACAAAAATTTTTTTATTATTTATAATAAAATAACTACGATCAGCCAAAAATGCAATTAATTAAACATAATAAGAAAAATTGGTTTATTGCAATTTTACTACTATTTAGAAAAATAAAAAAGAAAAAGGTTTAAATGATAAGAAAAATTTAATTAAAATAATAATTTTGAATATTATTAAATAAACAGTAATATTCAATAATTATTATTTAATTTTAACAAGACTTTCGATCTTTACTTTTTTTACGCCTAGTAAAAATTAAGTAATAATTTTAATTAAAAGTTAATTGTAATTGTTCCCTTTTTAAAAATTCATAAAAGACTACCAAATTAATAAAACATATTAATAATAAGAAATAAATAATAAAACAAATACATATAATTGATAACATTGTAAATATATACATAATATACATATAAATAAATATACGACTACATTAAATATATTAAATATAGTAAAATATGGAATATATGGTATATGAAAATATAGTAAAATAAAATAATTAATTAATTCAAATTTTTTAGATTTACCTAACTTTTATCTTAAGGATTCACTACAAACTCAGACGGCTTAAATCATATATCATCTGTTAATTTTCTAATATCTGAATTTATAAAAATTATGATAACTTACACTCTTTCAACTATTAAAAAAATACGGTAAATCAAATCGACTCCCCCCCCCCATGTCGGTAAAGATATGTTTTTAAAAATTTTTATGCCAATGAACGATGAGATCATATAAGACCATAAGTATCAACTGGATCTTAAAAATTACTCCAGTAACGACTATTTGCGTCTGTTTTTAACCAATATTTAAGAGAGATCAATAAAAGTTTATTTATAGATTGATCAAGAAGAAACTTCATATACTCATTAAAATGAATGAAATTGACTAATTATATCTCATATATACTGAACAAACACAGCTTGTTTTTCATAAATTTTCATTAAAATTTTTAGTTGATGTTTGATATGCAGTGACCATATTTGGTGTACTTATGATATTGAATCCAGATAAATACAGATATATATATTTCTGCTTTCAAAACTTTATTTTTTATACTAAGAATTACAAATAAATAAGCGCAAGATAGATATAGATAAATATAGAAAGAAGTGGGCAGGTATAGCTACATATAGATAAATATAGACAGATGCAGATGGATATAAATGGAAATTGATATATATATATTAGATATATATAGATCGATAAGTAAATATTGATATATATGGATAGATATGGATTGATTTTGATGGATATTGCTAGGCATATAGATAGAAATAGATGGAAATAAATAGATATAGATAAATATAAATAGATGCAGATAGACATTGATGCGCATATATAGAATTAGATAGAGCTAGATATAGGTAGATATAAATTAATATAGATTCATATAGATTGATAAACATAGATATTGAAAGATATAGACTGGATATATATAGATATATGGATTAATACAGATTGAGGAGTATAGATATCTATAGATACAGATAAATATAGAAAAGCATTGATGTAGAATTTATGTAGGTCAATGTTTAACACAAAAATATATGTTAAGTATCAACACAAATGATCTTTAAGATCGCTGTGGACCACAATGGCACTATAACTAACCATCATAATAAAACATATTTATAAATATAGTAATAATTGGTTAATTTAAGTAAAGATAATAGAGTTACATTAAAACAGTTAGTTCCACATATAATTTAAAACATACTTTGTTTTTATAAATTTAAAGGCTTTCGTTAATGAATTTAAATATTTTCTAAATTATTTTTTATGAATTTCATAACAAAAGATGTTATCGTTAATCAAAACTAGCATATTTAAAATATATTTAAAATAGTGATTATTTTGTAACTTCTCAAAATTCTCAAATGTCTACATTAAGTAGAGCAAATATCTTTCTTCGTAGAATTTCTGCACAATTTGAGCCGAATTAGTTTTGGTTTCATATATCCTAGTAAACATGGAAAGTAAATCAGATAATTCCAAATGAATACTTGCTCAATATTATGAGGATCCAGTTGCAATCTTATAGCAACAGCAAGACAAATTTTCTTCTCTCATAATAGAATTGCAACAAATATTTTCTCAATAATAAGATCTTACTTGACCTCAAATAAGAAGATTTTAATCGCTTAAGTCTAAAACCAAAACCGGCTAAAAACAATATTCAAAGTAATGTTTTCAAGTATCCTTTTACTGCCTTTTACAAAGGATATAAATAAAACTGTGTACAATATTTTTTTTTTAATTACTGCAAAGTGTACAGGTGAATTTGATCCTTTTTGGAGAAAAAAATTTAACCAAAAACCAAACTTGACTTTCGTTTAACAAATAATGAAGTTTTTATATAATCGCCTTTTTATATTTTTCTTTATAAATAGAATTTACATAATTATAATTTTGAATGTCTTTTAATAACATTTTTCTTTGGGTTTTGTGTTTTATTATATGATGTATTCTAAATATTTTATTAATATTATTACTGCAATTAATAACTAACTAACGGCTGTGTGGAAAATAGTATAGATGCTTTATAATATTTATTTTTGAATACAAATACATAAATGGAATCTAATCCATTCTATCATAATATGATTTCGAAATGTCTAAGTATCTGAACCCTCTATTATGTCCTATTAAATTACTAAATTACTATTTTTCTTAAACTTTAAATACAATAATAAATAAATATATAAAAGTAATTGACATTCTTAAATAGAAAAAATACATCAATTATTTTATAAAAAAGATGTGTGTACTTCTAAAAATAGTGGTTAATCTTTTTTATTTAAATATAAAATTTGATATTAATTATATAACAATAATATAATAATAACATAATCGTTTTATTAATACCCAATGTGATAATAATATTATAAAAATATAATAATAATATGTTATTAAAATATAATATTATAATAAATAGCTAGTAAAAATAATATATATAAAAAAATAAATATAAATAAATAAATAAAATTTGGTGTATTAATACGAATAAATAAAAATAAAAAAATAAAAACAAAAATATTAAAATTAAGTGAATTAAAGGAAATAATAATAAATAAACAAAAATAATTTTAAAAAAATTAAATAAATAATAAATTGCACATAAAAAAAGAATATTTTTAAATGCACAAAAATAAAAATTCAGTTTATAAATATATAAAATATATAGTATTATATTGATAATAACAGTAATATATTAATATTATTATCAATGTCAATGTAATATTCCATGTAATATATACAAATAAATAAATGCATAAAAGTAAATTAATTCACAAGAATATATATTTACATATTTGTCTTTTTGTACACATTTATATGTTTCAATAATCTTTTATATTTTATAGTTACAATCTTAGTATTTTGCAAATTATGAATTAAAATATATTGGCTTTGTAATATTACAAAAGTGTATTGAAAATTTTATACCTATATTAAAAACCATAAATAAAGTTTAAAGAACCCAATACTTTTTAGCCCAACTAAATATCAGCCTATTCAAAATCTTCAAAATAATTTCCATCTCACATCACATAACTAAAGTAAGATAAGTAATCCAAGAACTCTATATATTCCATACTTATAATCACAAGCAATAACGAATAACTTACCTTGAAAGCATAGCAGCATCCTGTGGACCACCACTGCCTGGTTGTGGCAGATGTGGTATTGGTGTAATAAGAGTAGCCACATTATTATTATTTGCACATTTCTTTGCTGGTTCATTTCGACTTAGAATACTCGATATGGAAAAGCTGGTGAAACCGTTACCAGTGGTAACCTTATTGCTTTCATTACCATTATTACCATTTGAATTTGCTAAATTCTGACTACTGCCGTTACTATCACTGTTATTGTTACTAATCAGTTTATTGTTATTATTATGCACCAACGAAGTGACCTCATCACCATTGTGTGCTGGTGATTTAGGTGCCATAGCAGCCATAGCCGGTGGACTAAAACGTTCCGTAACCGCAGCTAATTGTGTTACCGCCGTCGGTGTAACTGCATGCTGTAGCAATTGCTGATGTGCTGGGTGAGCAGGATGTCCTGGGTGAAGATGACCAAAGGTATGCAAAGCATGATGTAAGGCCACTGGATGCCCACTTAAGCTATTTAGATGATGTTGCAAATGATGATGCAATACCGTCGGCGGTACAGCACTTAACGCAGCAGTTGGACTATGATAGTTAGCATTCGAAGTAGGTGTTCCAGCTGCTGTTGTTGGTGTTGAAGTAGTTGATGTTGGCGCGCTACCGGCTGATGGAGCTGGAGATATGCAACGCATAGGGCTATCACGCTCATTACCACAGCCTGTCGGACTTGGTTCCGGGCTTGAGACGACGCTTATGTCAACTTCAGCTTCAGAAGTAGACATTTTAAGTGTTAATGAATGTATTATTTTTTTCAAGAAAAGTTAATTTTAATCTTATATTTGGCACTAAATATTTATATTATTTTTTATATTCTTTAGGTTAACACACTTGAATTAAATTTTTATATTCTTATTTACTTAGTTTCATCATATTTTAGTCATACTTTTCTTTAATTGTCAACACTTGTCTATTGCTTATTGAAGACTTTCTATTACTTTAAAAAGCACGTTACACAATTCAACGCCCGCTATTGTATCCGTTAAAGACGTCCTTACCGCTTCATCAACGATTCACATTTAATTTCAAATTTTCAGTCAAAACTCTATTCTGCTCTTCACAGCACGGAAAATTGTTCTGTACTGTTGCGTTTATTTGTATTTCCTTAGTTGATCGTTTAGTTTTTATTGTTTTTGTTTCTCGATTTAACCCCCGGTCTTAAAAGAGTGTGTACATTGCTGCGCTGCAAAATTAAAACTAAGGTGGTTGGTTGAAATTCTTTTGGTCTTTGCGCTAAAATGGTTTTCCACAATTGTTAACGTCGCAGCACAAGCACACAAACCCAAAGGACAAATACCAGAGTACAAACCTACAAACAAACAAAATCTAAAACTGTTCTACCTACACAAACCCCTCAGCAGAACAGTTAAGTTCTTTAGTACTGCACAGGGAGGTAACATGATAGTATGAAAACTGCAAAATCTTAGCGCAGAGGGTTGGGAAAACTACCTTTAAGAGCACATTTATCGCAAGAGGTTTCTAAAGTATGGTAAGTCTCATATCCATTCTGCCTCTCTCCGCTATAATTGTTTGCAATTCTGCGCTCATGGTACGCAAGAGATTCTCATATGTTGTGTCCTTGTCATGGGGGTTGTTTTATTTCCATGCAGTTAAGCTAGTTGTATTGCCACAATTTATTTATATATACACATTTACATATATGTTCAGATATGTATAGATTTTGTTATAATTGTTCTGGAACCACATCAACAAACTTTTACATTTATTCCGGTAAAAGAAATCAAATAAACTATTTCGTTTTTATTTCATTTTTTACATGATTTTTGGTGCTCTTTTTAATTGTTGTTTTATAGTTTCGAGTGAAACATTTTGGCAATGAAACAGTGTTAAATGACTATTTAATAGTTTTAAGTATTACCACGCTGGGTGGACGATATTTCCATTGAATGGTTTTGTATGTATATTTGCAAGAATTCATTGTATTATATTCAATGTTCTCGTATTAAATTATTGACTCAAAAGCATTACATCAATCAATTTACATAGAAAGGTCAAGTGTTGAACTATTGAAATATTCATTGAGGTTACTCTGTACATGCATTTCGACAAGTATTCATTTATATGTTTCAGATTGAAACCAAATTAAGTTAATGGAGCTTCTTCTCCCTTGCTTTGTATACAAATTGAGTATTTCGGACAGGTGTCGGATGTGCTCTATTATTAATTACTTTATTGAGTTTAGATTATATTAAAAAAAAATCATGAACATTTACATTTTAATTGAATTTTAGAATTAAAATCAAATTAATTAAATTTAATTTCTAAATTTAAAAAGAAAATAGGACTATTATAATGTCTGAAAAAAATTTCTTTAAATAACATTATAAAATGTCACAACATTATTGCGATAAAAAACATATTAAAATATATAAAAAAAAATTTAATTTAATTACATTTTAAAAAAAAAAATAATTTGTATAATTGTACTGATAAAAGTGTTTATGATTTAAGCCCTTTATATATTTTAATATTTAATAGTTAAATTATTATTCAAATTTAACGAGTTGGAAAATCACACAAATTTTTAAATATTTAATATTAAATATTGGTAATATTTAATATATATATAATATATATATAAGGTGAGATGAAAAAACTGCAACCAACTTCAGACTGCTGTCATTTCTAAACCGCTCGTCCCACAGCTGTCAGATTTATTCTAGTGACAGCTCATTATATTGTTTACAAGCGCACAAAAGCATTTTGGTGGGAATTTTTCAAAAAAAAAGTTATTTGTGATGGAATTCAAGCGTGATAGTGTGATTGCTTTGCATTTGGCTGGAAAACCACAAGTGGCTATCGTTAGAGCCCTCCAGCATTTAGAAGTGAATAAATGTTTTGTGTCTCGTACCATCGCTCGTTACCATGATACTGGTAGCGTAGCCCGACGTCAAGGAAGTGGACGAAAAAAAACAGCAACATCGGCAGAAATGGTTCGAAAAGTGAAAAAGCGAATTGAACGAAATCCGCGTCGCAGTGGACGAAAAATGGCTCGTGAGCTGAACATATCGCAATATGCCATTCGGCAAATATTGAAAAATGAGCTTGGACTAAAGCCATTCAAGTTCCAAAAAGTGCAAGATCTTACTGATGCGCAAAAAAAAGTTAGACTCGAAAAAGCTAAAGAGTTGTTTCGCTTGGCCGAAAGTGGTGAACTGCCGAATTTGGTTTTCTCCGATGAGAAACCATTCGTTATCCAGCAGTTTGTAAACAAACAAAATGATCGTGTTTACTTGCCAGAGAGGTCAGCTGAAAATTTGCAACTTCGGTTGGCCATCACAACTCAAAAGCCGGCCATGGTGATGGTGTGGGCCGCCATAACAGCCGATGGTCGCTCGCCGCTCGTATTCATCGACCGTGGTGTCAAATTAAATGCGCAAATCTATCGCGAAAATATTTTGGAGGGAGTTCTGAAGCCCTGGGCACGCAAACATTTCGGCCGCAGACCTTGGACATTCCAACAGGACTCAGCACCATCGCACTCAGCACGCGCCATCCAAGAATGGTTAAGAAATGAGGTTCCTCGCTTCATTTCCACCGCACAATGGCCACCAAAATCTCCGGATGCCAATCCGTTGGACTATTGTGCCTGGGGTATTTTGGAAAGCAAGGTTGGAACTAAAAAATACCAAAGTGTCGATCATCTCAAGCAAGCGCTTCGCCGAGAATGGGACAAAATACCGCAGAGCCACTTTCGGGCCAAAGGTGGCCAATTCGAACAAATCTAAACCGATTCTCAAATTTGATGTTATTTCCGACATTTTTTGCTTTCATTCAATAAAATTTAAAAAAAATGAAAAAATTATGGCGTTTTACTTTGTTGCAGTTTTTTCATCTCACCTTGTACAGTACACCCGACTTATCTTAAAATACTTTTATTATCTTTGTTTTTAGTGCTTCAGTTCCTTATTAGCTTTTTTATAGTCTAAAAAAATATCTACATAAAGAATTCAAAATTTTTAATGTTTAAATATTTTGAGGTTTCCTAAAAAAAATTTTATATTCTTGTTAAAGTAATCTGAAGCATAAAGCTGAATCCCATAGTGATATTATTGGAGAGTTCAACTTTTGTTGAGGTCCTGAACTACTTCAAATAAACTATGTGCTTTTCCTTAAAAAAGAAAGCTTTTATAAAGTTCACTCTTACACCGCAATGAGTTGAACAATGTTATTATAAATACTGAGAGTCTCTGGTGAGTTTTTCTTTAAATAAAGATCTATAAAGATCTAAGTTCTTCTTCTGTAACCAATGGTTTGATGAACGAACGAGTCTTAAAGACTTATCACATCTGAAGCACCTAAATTGGTTCAATATAACGAAGATTGTCAAGAGAATTCTCCAAACAAAAAAAGTTTCTTATATAGCATAGCTTTCATAAAGAAAACGAACTAGCGGCGCGGGCATGTTATAACAAATATACAGGATGTGTATTAAGTAATACCCTGTCCAAACAGTTCCGGGTCATGTAATTAATTCTGAGTAAAGGAACGCTGTTATGGGTGTGAAGACATTTCCTTCCTCAGCCTACAAAAAAATGTAAGAATAATTATTTAAAGTAATTTGTAATGTATTGAATTTTTATATCTATATATTTATTTATGTATATATCTCTTATAATTTTAGTTGATACATTTTCTTGTTTGTTTTTTCACTTGCTTTTTATCAAACAATATGTTCTACAAAACAAGTGATCAAAAAAGAAAATGTATCAATTAAAATTATAAAAGATATATATAGAAGGTATCAATTAAAATTTTGAAAGATATATTGATGAGTAATTCTTTTGTCAACGAACTGTCAAATATAGATATTAAACTTAATCAACAATAGAATAAAAAAACAGATGTTATTAAAAAAACCTTAGCTTTGAACATTTCCTATCTTATATTACATTACGGTCACAATATATCTCTTATGCTCTTTCCACCAACTTAATAATAATACCTTTAAATAATTTGCAGTAAATTCTAAAACATACAGGTATTTTAAATGCTTTATATTCTTTAGAAGACATTTAAGCCAAATAGAAGCGAATTATTTTCGCCGTGAATAGCACGTGCTTTCTTCTGTAATAAAACAAACTTGAAACCAAATGGAAAAGAACAGGGGTGGTCTTGTTACAATGAAACGAAACATTATACTCATGTAGAACGAAATGCAATGCTCACTTGTGCACATACAATTCGCACTCTGGGGTGCTTTAGAACGGCCATTTTTACAGTAGAAGTGCAGGTTTAGGTTTAGACAAATATCATTGAATTTAATGGTAACTCATCTCAGCATGTGGCATGGCCAAAATTGTTATTTTAAATGTTTTGGTTTTTATTAATATTGTAAAGAGAAAAATGATATAACCAAAACATTTTGCAAACAATTTACACATAATAAAAATATAATAAATTCTTACAAAGAGAAGAGAAGAGTGTGTGAGCGAGAGAGCGAGTAACTGAAATTTTGAATAACAGTAAAAGAATGTTAAACACCGTTTTGAGTGAATTGTTGGGCGTGTCGGAACTGCATACTCAGTGCTGACCAATCATTGGCGTTAGTATTGTGCGGAAGATACGCAAATGCTCATTTCCATATAGAAAAAGCACAATGAACATGTATCGCAAGAGGTTGTGTAGTTATTTAGTTTTAGCAAAACCGTCGGAAAATCGGTGTATCGCTTCATCCTATGCAACGACTACACAATATTTCGTT